TAAGTTGTATTTAATGTTTGTATAGAATTATAGATAAATAGTTTACATATTTTAAGGTATTATACTATAGGTATAGTCAAWTATACAATTAACAAATTCAAGTATTTGGGTCTATATAATTTAGATATGCCTATCAAATAGATTTTAACTTCAAAGCATATTTTATATGACATTTATATTAGATATAACTATATAAGTACCTACTCAATAATATTTATAAACTAGAATGATAYCATTAGATTTTAATGTAATCTATTATCTGTAATTATCAAAATTCATCAAACGTCTATTAACGTTTAACACTATACCCATTGTCTATTACATAATATCATCTATTAGACTCAACATTATATAGATGGTACCTATAAGGCTATAACTAATTGAATGTTGATTATATTATCAACACATTTTCAGTTGAAAATATTGTTTTAAATTATGCTATAAGTAGTTATTTGTTTATTACCATAGTTTACACTTCGCTGTGACATAAAATAATTGTAGCTGCTTTATTCACACGATTTTCATGATATTATGATGTATTATAATTTAGATACCTAATTGATGAAATTACATTTTTTTTCTGACTTCACGCAAACCATATTTATCGTCCGACAAACCTGTAAGGCTGTAACCATCGTCCACTTAACGAAAAGTTTATATTTATAACAACATAATTAATCACATACACGTTTGGCGTTAGATACTTAATTACGTCCAGTTTTATATAAATTTATTATTAGGTATTGTTAAAAACTTCCTAATTGATAGTATTACATCGACATATCGTGTTTGTGCGAATACTCTTCTATAAATTATGGTTTTAAATTGTAGTTTAGAACGGAAAGTGCAATTGCAGACAATAAAGAAAATGCGTACGGTATGCTTTTTAGTGATTACTGCAGTAGTCTTAAACTCTTAATTAAGTTGATCGATAACTCGTAAACACAATATACCTCTTGAAGTACGAACAACACATATAATWGTTCGAGCAATATCGTACAACCACAACGACATTTTACATTTCATAGGACTTTGGTAGTCAGATAGTTAACAGACTTTTTTTATTTTTCTGAAAGACACTGGTTTATAGCGTCTGTGTTATTTATGTTCAACTGTAGTTCAAATAAAGAGGGTCAAAACTATTTATATACAATCCACTGGCGCATAATGTAAATGCAGTCTAATGTACATTAGCTAGGACGAATAGGTTTTGTATAAAAATGTCTTTTGTTCAGTTGAACTGGATAGTGGATACCAATAGCTTAGAAATATTTGCTTTGAACTCTTCGTATCCCGTTTATAACTAAACTTTTGTTCTCATTATAAGCAAGCCTAACGATGATGGATTTTAAAATACCAAAAAATGGTGTATGATAGTTTTAATCTGTCTGGTTATTAATCCTAATTTTATCTTATACTTTTAACTAAGTGATTCAATACAAAAAAAAAAAAAAAAAAACAATATAACATAACGTCATAACAGACATTTCTACACAGTTTTTAATTTCAAAATGTGAAGCTATATTATATTATTATAAATATATATTAATATACCTATTTTTTATATCTGTCTTATTTAAATATTTTATTTTTGACTACTTATATAAAATAATGATTGTCATAATGAAGTAATGCAATTAACTTTTGACTTGTATAAGCTCTGGAAATTGGTTGCACTTCGATTTATTAAATAATTTTAGCAGTTCCCACAGCAGAGTTCAATGGTTAAGATATTTTTAATTGGAGTAATTATCGCAATGTAAGTACTTAAAATTAGGTCAACATTTAAAAAAAGTTATCTAAAATTAAAACTATTTATGAATATAATTCAATCAACAAATTCAAAAAAATTGAAGTCATTAGTATAGGTTTCATATGGGAAATATGAAAGTATTATTTAGAGTATTATAAAAACAGACTCAACTACCTGTATCGTTTGTACCGTTAATACGAGTATTATGAATAGAACTAATTAAACAATTCAATGTTAATCTCGTTATAATAGTCACAATATTTAATTGTGTCTTTGCACTTTCTGCTTTTCCTAAATTAAACAGATAAGCGCATAGCGTGTAGCCTTAATTATCTTTTTACAGTTGTGTGAGTTATTATATATTGTATTATGATCTAAAAATATTATCGTGTTCCTTCTTCCCCTTTTATCACTGAACTCTTAATCCAAGCGCTGGAATAATGAAAAACTAATTTAATTGCTAACACATTTCTAAAAACGCGCCAAGTTCATCGTTCTCGAAAAGTAAACGTAAGAATTAAACACACAACTTAAGGCATTAACGATCCAGATAAACAAAAGATTTGGAGGGACGTTGCTCCATTAGAAATGGTAATCGAAATAAAAATCCAAAGAACACAAAATCCCAAAAATAAAATATACTGATAAATTAAGACATTAAATTGACAAATAATTTCAATACATTAAATGACTACATCCTTAGATAGAATACTTACCTAGTAATAATACGATCTTAGACCAATGATTTATATTTTTACAATAACATCGAAACGCRTTTCTTTTTTTTATTGAACAATAACATAGGATAACATAACTACCAAAGTCGATATACTTTTTGTAGATAACTATCTAGGTATATTGGAATACAATACAAAACATTACTTATTACATTATTATTATTGATGATGATTAAAAATGATAAAATATATAGTTTATAAGGTATAATTAACATAGATTGTTTACAATATTTATTTTCAACATGAAAAAATGGTTCTATACTACTAAATAATAGAASTAGAAATTAAAATAATCAAAATTTTTAATTTTTAGCATATTTTGTTGAATCATCACAATATTTAATTTGATATAGATATTATTAAATTTTTAGTTATAAATAAATTAAATTTGCAARTAAAAATAATAATGCTGTATTTTATTTAACGTTTTAAGAATWTTTATTCAATCACTCCTAGGAAAATTTTTTTGAAAATTCTGTGTAGGAGTGGGATATATTATTGTTTTCTCACATTTAAATGTTTTAAATATATCTCACAGCTGCCCTTATAATTTATTATCCTAATAGATAATTTCTTACCTACCTATATTGTCTTAAAATCTATAAAGTTATTTCATATTTTTTTATTGTAGTATGAAGTAGGGTGGTAGTGAGACTATAGTGAGCAGTAGTGACCTTTTATCCGCCTACATTTCTCGGCATAAATTACACGACAACCGGCGTAAACAATGGTGATAAATTATTGATCATAACATAAATAATACCTCATAGATTTGAGARAAAAAGATCCATAAAAATAATAAAACTATCGGAACGTTTTCGCAGTAAACACTTATTAACTTTTCGGATAGAAGAAAAAATGCTTGAAAGTAAATGTTCAGACGCTTGGCAATGGTGATACATTAACAACCGCTTAAGTATACGGAATTGGTTCAATTATTTTCCTCGATTAGAAAATTGCWGAGATCAACGCATCAAACCGTATTCTACTCACGTCCGTTTAAATCGTTTCCCGGCGAAATTAAATCGTACATTAACGAGGAGAACAATAACTACAAATAAATTATTATGTGTCCCTCGACGGCTATTATTATAATTATTATTACTATAGATGTGACGACCGGATTAGAGCATAATATATCTATTGCTAGTGTAGCAAAATCAAATGTATGCAGCACGCCAACACGTCACATGACCGTTACAATGACCCGTTAGTCGTCACCAGACGGTTTTGAAATTATTTAGCAGTCAATTTTTGTACTGAAATGCTAATTTCGATGCAATCTGAAATAATTGCGTTGTTCGACAAATGTGCAGCTGCAGCTGTCGGACGACTCAACGCGATTGCGTACGGATACCATGTGCAAAATCGATGATGATGATAATAATAAGCGGCGTCTCCTTCAGCGAAACGGGATTAAAATAATAATATAATCGATGAATTCAAACACGCTATCGTGGGCTAAATACGTATAATCATATCCGYTTGTATCGCGACCATTACCTGCACAGACACCGGTTTTCGGTGTTGCTGCCGAGAATCCGTATAATATTACACTGTAATATACGACATACGTCTACAGCACACGTATTATATTTGTATATATATAGCACGTGTTGTGAAACCCAAGTCGTCTATGTTGTTATATAAAACGTACGACCGGCGAAGGCGATTTGTAGAACTACAATAATAGTATAGTAACATTATGGAAGTTGTTACGTCTTGTTATCATCGAATTTATGCCGATCATTGACAGGTGCACATTTGTAACTTCTTTTTTTTACAAATATTTTTTATTCACCACCGGTGGCATTATTCAGGACGAGGGTACTAAGAAGTAAGAACCAAGTAACACATTCAGTTGCACACAGAATAACATATCAGGTGAGATTTAAAGKTGTATAGGTACCTGTACATGAAGCGATAAAATAGGTAACGGCGACGAATATAATATGAATAAACTATAATAYAAAAACAGTGTTTTGCTGTCCGGACATTTTGTCATCACCGCGATTAGCCGAGCAAAAACGACCCCGTTTGAATTCGAAACATTACCCCTCTAAACGCCCCACATTGCACCGACGTTTAGATACTGCGAGCCAACCCCAAAAACACAAGAAATCTGAGAGATCGACATCGCTGCCGGCCGGCTACGCGCGCGGTTACCATGGAGACGGCGGCACGCGAAATACGTGTACCTATAGCGCGTATACCGTCGTACGCGTAGCACCACCGCGTAACCGTCACGTGGCCGACACGAGGGCGGCTGCCGTTGTATCCGCGGGGGCGGTATAATAGGGCTGCACGCGATCGATTGCTTGCGCGTCCCGGCTAAAGACAACAAACCCGACCGCCCGGGTCGTACCAGCCCGGTACACGCTCATCATAGTACCACAATTATGTAATACCACCAAGGCACCATCATCATCATAATACTATCATACAGGTCGTAACAGTAAACATAGTACATAATTAATCGTATCACGTTACCAGGGTGGTATTGCGCTCACCTCGTGTAACAGAGTGACTGCCGATTCAATCATTTTCCGACGATATCATCATCGTCATCGTTGTTGTCGTTGTCGTCGTCAATGTATCGTCAACTAACTCTGTCAGTATGTCGTGTCACGCTCACGCGTCCGCCGTCTATCGCGATGTTGACGCCAAAAGCGACGGTGACGGCACCGACATGATCGTGGGCGACGTTCAACGCACGTTATTTCCCGGAGTCGATCGCAGATCTTCAGCGGTACAACCTGTGGCCAGCGACTATGCGACGGTGGAGCTTATTTATATACACACACACACACACGCATACACAGGTAAACATACACAGGAGTTGCCGCGGCGATGACACGATCAGACGTTCGGTCGGCAGGGCACGCGCGGTACGTCTGCCGCGCGCCGGCAAGCTTTCACCCGGCGGCGGTCGTAACTCGCCGACGTCGAGCTTGCGCTGAAGCGCCGCCTGGTGGTCGGTTCGGTCATCTGCCGTCGACGACGAGCGCCGCGACCGGCTGACGGACGACGACAACGACGAGGTCAAGTTCAAGCTCGCACCAAACCGTGTTATTACTCCGCGACTCAGCCACCGATGCCCCACCACAGATCTTTGCCGCCGCACATACTTGATCTGATTGCGAATTGCGGTTTAGGTAGTCAAAATGTTATTTTTTTTTTCGGCACTGCACCATCGCTATTGCGCATTCCATTTCATATTATTGTGTTTGCTTTCATATTATACATAATATTATGTAAATGCGAGAATTGGTGCGGTGTCTGAAGATGGTAACCACAGTGGCACAGTCTGGACACACGCCTTTCACAGTATAGTAATTTTCAATTTAGGCACATACTGACATAACATCTACGAGTACGGTTTCTGGATATGCATATTAAGGCGCGGATCAATGTGGGCTAAAAGGATTTAGCTCCTTCATTTGGAAATGCTATTTAATATTATATATTTATTTACATCATGAATGGGTAATCCATACGTCCTTAAATCCATAAATTAAAAATATAAACGAAATTTATATTTTTATTATTAAATCTTATCTAGACTATTGTATTATGTACCAAAATGATAATTGTATTTTTTCTGAAAAAAATTATATTTTTTTTTTATTTAAATATATTTATATTGTACCTATCAAATTATTACTATGTATATAAAAAAAAATCAATAACATGAACTTTATTGGATATGAATATTGTATAAAGATCATCGTGGAGGCGTAGATTTCCTTTATTCCTTTTCTTGTCTGATCGCCAATGGTGTACGTCCAAAATGTTCTTGTTGATTGCTGACGTATAGTACWATAGGTACCACATAGATTTATAAAAAGTATAGTTTAATGCCGCACACAAAAAATAGTACCATACCGCACACATTTATTAAATATAGCATTATTATTTAAAAATATATTAAATAGAATTAAATTTAATAACATTCCATAAAAATAATTAAAATTAAAAAATTAAAATAGCCATTAATTTTAATAATTAAGAAAGAGAACMAACTTTTATTAAAGTCAACTAATCGACAGTCGGGATGCCTATATAGGCTATAAGACACGGAGTAAATATTCAGATAGTAATACAAATTTAATAATTTAAATWTGAATATTGTGGATAGCTATATTGGTTTAAACTTTTTTTTTAGATTTCATTAAATTTACTTATCGTTTTCGATCACATTTCCATAATGTATTGCTTCAGTTCCCTTCTTAATTTCTCGCATTTTCACTTTATTAATCATTTGTTGATCTATTAAGTATTAAGTCACCAATCTAAAAATATAAAGTAATTACTATCTATATTTAAATAAATAGTTTTTATTTGGACAAATTGAATGATATAGATGGATGTGGCATATTAAATTCAAACCGAAGTTAGATTCAATAACCGTTAGTTGTTTTTTTTTTTTTTTACCATTAGGTTCTTTAGACCACATTAAAGGAGGAAATTGTTCAGTATCAACGTTATTTTCAAATACCTACCTATGTAATTTGAAAATTCCATGCATTTTGTATACAATATTAGATCATCAATTAAAACGCCAATATAAACTAAATTTATAATCTGTAGCGGATCTGAAGAT